CAACGTTCGCTGGCTGGCTCCTCCCTGACCCAGGCCTAACGCCTCAGGCTGAGGGTTTAGGCCTGGGCCGGGGCACCCCCAGCTCCCCGCCACCAATTGCTGGCTGGCTCCGCCCGGGTCCCCCGCTGCAACTGTCATCAAGGATCCCTGGCTGGCCGGAGCCCCCCCAGCTTTCTGCCGCCGCCGCCATCAAGCATAGCTGGCTGTCTCTGCCTGGTTCCCTGCAGCTGCCACCATCAATGATTGCTGGATGGCTCCGCCCAGGCCCCAGCCTAAAGCCTCAGTCTGAGGCTTGGGGCTGACATATGCAAAGCCAATGATTGCTGGATGGCTCTGCCCAGGCCCCAGCCTAAAGCCTCAGTCTGAGTCTTGGGTCTGGCGGTGGAATTGGTCCCGGGCGACCGCTGGCACTCATGCGAGAGCGGGTTGAGGGTGTGAGTGCGGGCGGATGCCTCAGCTGCCCCGCTGGCCCGCATCCTGGTCTGCTGGCGGGATCGGGGCTCGGGTGACTGCTGGCACTCACACCCCCAACCCGCTCTCGGATGGCCTGTACCATCCTGCCTGCAATATGCAAATTAGCCACCATCTTTTTTGGTGGTTAACTGCCATCTTAGTTGGCAGTTAATTTGCATATCTCGCTGATTAGCCAATGAAAAGGGTATCGGTCATACGCCAATTACCATTTTTCTCTTTTATTAGTTTAGATTACAATCGTTACACTTGTGGTAAAAATGAGAGGAAAACGTGTGAGAAAGCATTATTCTAATGCACTAATAGAGCTAAACGAGACCATGGTGTGGGGTGTTTCAGGTTCTAAATGGCTGTAAATACTGTTCTCTTAGCTGGCACAGTATTTGAGGGTCTTTGCTATCTATCCATAAGTTTATCAGATATATTTTTACGTGCCTTTTCTCCTGAAACACACAGATAGTGATAGGAAACGGGATCCGGTCACACCTAGGGGAGGCCAGACAGGAGCGCGGCAGCGTGTCGGAACCGCGCCAGGGAGGACGCAATGAAGTGCACGTGTAGCATGTTCGGGCTTCTGCTGAGCACATAGTTAACTGCGAGGATCGGAGGCAGCCAGACCCGGATGACGCAGCCCCGAATCCAGTGCGTGCTCCCAGTGTTCAGGCAGGAGCCGATTAGAGAGGAGGCTTGATTCCCAGGCTCTTTTTGTCTTGTTATCTTAAAGAATGCTGAAGCCATCGTTTGCATTCAGACAAAAACTGAATTTCACCTATGGGATATTCTTTTGTAATTCTCTTTGGGACCAGGGAGGTAACATTAAAAAAAACAACCTAGAAATTTGTATGAGTTTGGGGATAATTCAGATCATTAAATGAAATAGAAATAACGACATTAAGTGTAAATCGACCTGGTAAGTACTGAATGTGAAGACTAGTTACTGTTCAGTAGGATTTGGTCACTTGACTAAATTTCCAGCACCCGGAGGCAGTAACCACTGAATTGAATTGCTTCATGTGAGTTTCCCCCACTATGAGAAAAACTTGCTTTGCTTTGGGCTACTGACCTGCTGGACTGACTTACCCTTGAGCCCAACCGGAAGAGATGATTGTAGTGAGCTTGCTTTTGGCCTGGAGGGTACGTTGCAGATGAACTGGGTTTTTCCTCTGCCTTTTTCTATTTGCCTGATTGAGTAGATGGCTTCGCGGTGTTGGAAGTGGTTGCTTAGACTACCAAATGGGTGACGTGGAGTCCTTTGACATGTGGTCACATGCTAACATGTTATTGGCAACAACTTCATTGAGACAACAGTGGCTGATCTGATCACGCCTGGGTAGGGCCAGTTAACAATGTCCAATTAGACATTCTGTCTGGCTTTCAAGGTTTGCTGCTAGAAAGCTTGGAGAGGCAGGCATCTTCTTCCGGATGACAAGGCAATGCAATACTCGTTAGTTACCCTTTTAAATGAACTTGAAGAGATCACAATTAAAATTTTGAGACAGCAAAAAGTGTTCTGTCATCAAAAGAAATGTCTTCCTATATATCTCTCTTTTGGTTAATTGCTGAAAATAATTATAATGATAATAGATATCATATTTTGGCTATTTTTTTAAATGTGCCAGGTGTTGACATAAGCACCGTACCTAGTGTATTTTATTTATTTTTGACATCATCCTAACATATAGTATCATGACCATTTTACAGATGGGCATGCTACTTTACCTCTGAGTCTCAGTCTCTTCTTCTCCATGAAGGAAGTTATAGGCAGAGCTGGAAGTTGTCACTCGGGGTTGTTTAACTCCAGAGTCCTTGCTTATACTGCTGTTCTTTAACTCATTAGCACAAATATGCAATCATTCTTTTTACTGGTTCCCTTTCCTGGTGAGTTTCTAGTAATAAATGTCATTACAGCTTGTCTTCTACTGTTTCATAGGACCCAGTTTTATTCTAAAACATGGTTGGCTGATGCTATGATGGTTCATTTCCAAGACAGGATCAGTTGTCAGAGGGTATAGAGTGCAGCAAAGAAAGAGCTATGTTTGCTTCTGAGAGAAGGTGAGCCCTGGTTCTCCGAGTGTAGGAGAAAGGAAGGCCAGCCAGCAGAGGCAATGAACTTGAGTAAGCTCACCTCATCAGGTGGAGTGACTGTCCCACGCAAAGCCTGGCTCCCTCTGTGGCTCCCTCTGTGGCTCCCTCTGTGGCTCCTGTTGCCTTCAGGGTAAACCCTCGGTGGCTCCCGCTGTTGGAACCTTTGCGTGCTTGCCTGTGAGTCACGGCAGCGGAGTCCTAGCGGAGATAGCCAACACTCACGCAGCTTTACATGAATCCTGCCATATGCCAGCCATTTCTTTTTTACCATCTCCGCCCAAGTGGAAATAATCCTTTTGAATCTTTACACTAAACAGAGGCAATAAAGGGACTAACTGACTGTGGCAATAGTTTTTCATTAATTGTACGAGTTTTGAGGCTCTTGGGATAAAGTAATCACATGTGTTGTCACATTTAATTTTTAAAACAATCTTCACCTTCATTTCACAATCAAGTAAATTGAGTCTCAGAGATGTTGAGTAACTTGGCCACATCACGGCTGAGTAAAGGATGGAGGCCAGGTCGAAACCTGGGTCTGCAGAGTCTAAACCCGGCGAGCTGAGCCAGGGCACCGTGGAGCCTTAGAGAGGATTGTCAGACTGAGTTCTCTGGCTTCAGACAAGTGTGAGTCCCAGAGAATGCCAGCTGTGGCCCGAAGGCGGGTACTGTTTGGTTGATGAAACATATTTGTTTGGGGACTGCCTTTCCTTTTTCTTCTGACAGTTGGGGAGGGGAGCGTTGCTGTCTGCTAAGGCCTTGCTCCATGCCTGGCTGCTTCACACATCTGGCTTTCCTGCCTGGCCCATAAGGATACCCGGGTTAATGACTCTGGTCTAAGTGTCAGGACCAGGCAGCTCACTCTTGTGTTGAGTGCAGAACGAAGGTTCCACAACCACTTTCCATGGGGTGTTTTGTGACCCTGCCAACACTTTAAAATGATTGCTTGCTTTTAGTTTTAATCTATTTCCTCCTCCCTTACCCAACCCTGTCAATATTCAGAGCAACTGCTCAGAAAACTATAGTTCCCAAGAATAGTTACTACGCACTCTCTTTGCATTTTGTCTTTGCACCTTTCCCTTTGACATCTCAGATGACTGACAGGCCGCGAGCCTCTCTGCTGGCAGGGGGAGTGTCATCACACAGTGAATTAACACCTCAGCCTGGGTTTGTTTACCATTTGACACTCACATGCCTTGCTTTCCCTGGGGATGGCCCAGTATTAGATTAAACTGGTAGAAAAACGTAAATGTCCTTGATAAACAGACTTTGTATTTGGCGCATCGATGTTTTTTGAAGTTCGTTATTGCCTTCATTTTCAAAGTTGGTTGGGGAGAGCTTTTACCAGTTTTGGAAGTTATATGTCATTACCACTTGCTTAAAAAATAATTAAAAATTAACTACCCACTCTGGATTTTCTTTTTCAGATGCAAAAGAAATTGTTTTAAAAGCCCAGATCTTAGCTGGAGGAAGAGGAAAAGGTGTCTTTAGTAGCGGTTTGAAAGGCGGCGTTCATTTAACAAAAGAGTAAGTCTGGGCGTTTTCATTTCCGTCTGGGCCGCAGTGGTGAAAGATCTTGCTGGTGATGGACAGGAGCACCGGTGGGAAGGTGGGTGCAGGTGGGAGCTGGAGCTGGCGCATAGAGGGAACAGTCAGGAAGACGGTGGCAACGCCCGTTTCCTTCTGCTCCAGAAAAGCGTTTTCTTCACTCGGTGACCCTGGCGCTGTGTCTCCCCTAGACAGTCAGGTTTCATTCCAAACGCTGGCAGTGATGCCACTTGCACATCAAATTCTGCTGCCCTAACGGCGCTCCTGGTCCAGACCTGCAGCGGCTGCCAATCACCAGGCATCCTATCTCCTGTCTCAGGCAGCCCGAGGCTCCGTCATCTGAGCCTGTCTGTGATTTTTCAGTGACTCTTACCCTCACCTTTACCACCCCCACCCCGTTGGCCAGTACATTCCAATTACCTGCTCTCACGTCTCTGTCATTTAGCTCTCATCTAAGCCTGTCGTGCCTTTCAGCCTTGCCTCTTTACTATGACTATAATTTATTTGGGGGGCGGGGGGAGTAGGGGGTATCTTCCTTCCCTTTCCTTCCCTTCCTCTCCCCTCCCTAACCCTCCTCTCCCCTCTCTTCCGTCCATTCATTTGTGTTTTTGAACAGAAAGCCCCATGGGTCCTGGGCATGGAAGGTATGCCTTGCCCATATGGACGTGAGAATTTAGTATGGACTCTGCTTTAAAATTATTTTTAACAGAGTTGTTGATTTTCTTTCCTTTCTCTCTCTCTCTCTCTCTCTTTCTCTTAGCCCTAAAGTTGTGGGACAGTTGGCTAAACAGATGATTGGGTATAACCTGACAACGAAACAAACTCCAAAAGAAGGTGTGAAAGTTAATAAGGTAATATGAATGCTTCTGGTCATTTTCTATGTGTGTGGTAAAAAAAGAAAGCCATATTTCAGTTTTGGCAGAATCTAATGCACTTTGGCAATGCGCCATCTTATTTTTAAACCTCATGTCATCTGTTTAGTATGTAGTATGACTTTGAGGAGAAATAAAAAGTGTCTGTAATAGCAGTGTTCTTTATTGTGCTCCGCATGTAGTGAAAGTGGGCCTGGGCCCTGTGCAGGCCACGCCCAGCCCGGAGCACAGGGCGAGGCCCCTCCTGTGCTGAGTCAGGGCCCAGCATGTTGGGAGGAGCTGTCTGCTCCGTGGGCACAGCTCGCAGGTGCCGATTCCGCCGTGTGCATGCTTGGGGAAACCGAGGCAGCGCACGCTGGTTTTACTTTTCAGAGAGAGTTGAGTGGACAATTTTTGACGTGACCAACAAGAAAATCACCAGCTCGTGGTTCTTGTGCCACGAGAGAGTCTGTCCTCCTCCCAAGGGGCCATGGAGCGGAGGGAGGCTGCGTGCTGAGATCTGAGCTCTCCCTCGGACAGAGCCTTGCGGATGTCAGATGCGCTCACAGAGCGGGTCTGCCCTTCTCCCCTCCCACTGCCTCTCCCGCGGGTGCCAGAACTGGTTCACATGCAAGTGTGTTGATTTTGTTGGCTACATTCAGCCTGGCACACTACGTCTATTTCCTTTTAAATCTGGCTTTGAGCCTTTACCTGTGTACCTTCTTCAACATTTGCCTACAGAGGGCATGATTAGTATTTTTGTTTAAAAAATTTGTAGTTCTTTATGGCTAGATTGGTTTTTACATTAGAGTTTGTGGTACTTTTAAAAAGCATATAAAAATACACAAAGAACAATCACACTGTATAGATGAGCTTGAAATTAGTTTGTAGAAAAGTTCCTAAAATACTGGTGATAACTTCACTCTTGTAATTTGAATCATTGCCAGGCAACTACTAGAGTGTTCTATTTTTTTTAGTCGTTTTTTTTGTTTGCCCTGATTGCAAAAGTGACTAACTTATGTAAAAATTCGAGTAGTACAGAAAAAATAAAAATTAGAAGTAAAAGTTCCTTGTATTGTCATCACCCAGAAATAATTGTCATACATTATTTAGTCTTTCTTCTCTGTAAAGTGTGTCTTACCACTTTTCTATAACAATAACATTTTATATGCTTTAGGGAACATGCTTTTTTCTTTTTATTTACAGAACCTTGGACATCAGTCAGAAGTCCCAGATTATTTTAGACTCAGTTTCTTTGAGAAGTTATTTGGAAACATACATACCTCTGTGCCCATGGGGTATTTTTCTAAAGCTGTGCCTCTGTGTTAGGGGGCTGTTCTGTGGGGTAGTTAGTGCTGGTGAAGCATAGTAACCTTCATCTTGTATGAAACTGCTGTTTGAATTCTCTGCTATTGTTAGATAGTCCCTTGTTCTGTAAACTCTGTCATTTTTAGACAGTCTCTTATTCTATAAAATAGCTGTTTCAGTTTGAATAATAGAAAAGGATAAAAACTTAACTGTCTGATCTTGCAAGCTAGCCATCTAACGTAATGGACTAATAGTGATAATAATTCCCATATTCTTATGCCAAGTGTTTGTTCTTTATGTATCCAAGATTATGAACTGTCTGTAACAATAACTCACACAGAGCCCTTTGTAAAATCTGCAGACAGAGAAGCCCGAAAGGTATAAATACAGGAAACTTCCTGTATGTGTTGCTCAGAGATTTGGAAGAGACTCCCTCTGGGACTCCTAATTAATTGGCTTATTAAGACGTCTTGTGTCTCACTCGCTGGTTAACGATACAACACTGGGAGCCGAGACGCTGCAGGGCCAGGGGAGGAGCGCCAGCACGGAGCATGTGCCTGTCTTACCTGACCACAGTGTGTGGCGGGAGCCTGTGCCCTGGCACTCCTCCGGCCACAGTCTGAGCAGCAAACCAAAGCCAGTTCAGCATCCAGTCAGAGTCAAGGACGTTTCAAAGCTTTCTGCACTGGGGACAGCACAGAAAGGCTGCATTGGTGGTATGCTGGTGTCAGTCGCAGATGTAGCTTTTCTGAAATGTATCTAACTGAGCATCTCCTGGGATGAGTGTTCAAGCTCCGTTTCCGTTCTCTCTGTTACAATTCCTAAAATATTCTGACATCCTGGGTCATAAGATGGCATAGTAATGTAAAAAATTGGCCTTTATATACAATTTCTTGATTTATTTGTTGATAATCATCGTCCTAAAGTTCCTAAAGACCCAACAGGAGCGTGTGAGCCAGCGGGGGTCTTCACACACACAGCTGATGGCATCCAGAGCACGCCTGCCAACACTTAGCGGAATGAGAATAGGATTCGTGAATGACAGGTGCCCTGAAGTTGTAAGGTTGTGTTGCCTCTAAGAATAGCTCCTGAAAGTCACTAAATCTGTTCATAGACGAGCTCTGTGTTAGGAAGTGAACTTTTAGTCAAATGGTCCTAGGCAATCCCGGCACCGTATGCCAAGAAGCATTCCGTATGTACTCATAAGCTACCATTTATCACAGGAGCCTCAGGATGAAGCCCCTGCTCAGGTATTTTATTTTTAACTGGTCATAACTTCAATAAAAGTTTAAAAGGAATTCTATATCCATTACAGTGTAGCTTTTTAGATCACCGTAAATGGGATGGGGCAAGAGTAGGTTCACAGTTGTAAGTACGGGAAACAGCTTAAGAATCTTGATTATTTATTAATTATTGTATTATTTTCCACACAAACCGCTGTACACCTACTTTTGCCCCACCCTGTATTTGTCACTTTTCAGGTAACTTAAAACTTAGTGTGTTTGTGGCATCTGGGTAGCTAGAATCTAATGCTACTTAACCTGCAACTTTCTTTGTGCAACATATTATTGAAGTACTTTTAGGGAAAGCAATGTAAGTATTTTTATTATTTTCACTCCTAGTACTGATTATTTATGAAAGTTCTTATTTTCTTTTAAAAATCATCCAAAACATCTTTTACTATTTTTTGGGACTGTAAGTTGGTACAGCCTCTCTCGAGGGCAGTTTGAGAGTACTTTTCCATGTGAAGATTCTAACACCTAGTCATTTTCCTTTTGGATACCCTATCTGCAAGGCACTCAAACAAATGAGCAAAGGTACATGTACAAAAATATTCACCGAAGGAGCATTGTAGAAAAATTGAAGCCCATTTCAATGCCTGTCACTAGGGGATGTGGTTTAATACGTATTGACATATAAGTACATAATCACAACGGCCTGGAAAGATGTCTGAGTTGTAGTATTAAAAGCAAGAAGAAAGAAAGGCAGTGGCGCGCACGTAGTATGTCTGCATGTGCAGGGTCATTCCACGGCGACAATACTTGCAGGTGCCCAGAAAAAAAAGACCACAAAGGTGTCGTAGTGGTTTCCCTGCTCTGGCTGCTGCGTAGCGTTGTTAAGGTTGCGCACAGCTCAGGACGCCTGGCTGCGGCAGTGATGGGGGAGGGCATCCTTGCCCCGCTTGCCTGCTGCCCAGTCACATGCTGGCAGTTGACCACGTCCTCCCAGAGCAAGGGCAGCTGAGTGTCGCCGAGGTTCCCTGTGGTCTCAGGGCCATGCTGACTGCTGGGGCCGGGGTGGATGTGTGTCGCTGCTTTTATTGTCTTGTTTAGTTCCTTCTGGTGTCATTTGCATTAATTTTGAACAAGCAAATATATTTGTCATTTAAAGAAAGTAAAAATTGAAATACAAATGCAGTGAACCAAGTGACGGACCGAGGAAGCATTGAGCATGCCGGAAAAAGAATCCTTTGCCACCCAGACTGGGTTTTGCACCAGAGCAATTTGGGAAAGAGCAGTGTGATACACGGATGTGCTGTTAGGGTCTCAAATGACGATAGCAGCTGCTCGCCGGGAGTTTTTGTAAATGTCAGAATTCTCAAGGAAGGAAAAAAATAAGATTAAAGTGGGACTGTTCCTTGAGGCCAACCACTCACTACCTGTCACTTGAGCACGTTGACAGGATCAGTTAGGAGGAGGGATGAGCGTGGCGCACGCCCAGAGCAGAGCCAGCGCGTCCTGGAAGCGAAGGCACCGGGTTCAGGGGCCGATAAAGGAAGCCGTTTCACATGTGAGGCAAGTCTATTAGATTTCCAAGTGGAAACTTGGAAATTCATCTGCCTTTCCTCCTCCCTGGCAGTTGATGGTCGCTGAAGCCTTGAACATTTCCAGGGAGACCTACTTTGCGATTCTGATGGACCGGTCCTGCAACGGCCCTGTGCTGGTGGGCAGCCCCCAGGGGGGCATGGACATCGAGGAGGTGGCAGCTTCAAGTCCAGAACTTATTTTTAAGGTATGCTTAGATTGCTGGCTACTCCGTGTTCACCGGTGGTGGCTGTAGAAGCTGTTAAATATTTGATGTGGCGTCTGAGGCTGGTGGTGATGCATCTCTCTCAGGGATTTAAGGCTGGAGAATGTCAGGAGCTTTTTCTCAATGGCCATTGGATTGAAAGTTGGGTAGAATGGAGATATTCATTATTCAAAGTCTTTTTCTTTCCTTTCCTCGCCCTCCCTCCCTTCTTCCCTCCTTCCTGCCTTTTCTTCCTTCCTTGTTCCTCTCCACTCAGCCTGTCCCAAGAATTAAACAGTGGAAGCAGACTGTGATGCTTCCACTTCCTTTTTGTTACCTTTGCCCACTTAACAGTATTATGATTAGAAAAGCTCCAAGGAGACCAGATGTAAGCTGGAGGCTGCTTGGACGTCTTCCAGCAACATCAGTGTCCAGCAGAATCCCCGAAAGCCCAGATTCTTTGTTTCTTTCCATCCTTTACGTCTTTTTCCTGTTATTGATATTAAGATTAGTTCATAGCCCTGGCTGGTGTCACTCAGTAGTTAGATCACAGAAGGGTCACAGGTTCAATTCCCTGCCAGGGCACGTACTGGGTTTCAGGTTAAGTCCCCGAACCAGGTCAGGGCACATGCAGGAGGCAACCAAACGATGTGCCTCTCTCACATTGATTAGTTTCTAGCTGAAAATATCTTGAGGTAAAATCCCAACTAGCCAACAAGTTTCCCGATATCTTTAAGCTTTTTGTTTAAATCAGTAAAATGAAAATGGGGGTAATTGCCACCCCATAGAATTGTGAGAATTAAAGGAGGTGATGTGTTCTTGGCCTACCTCAGTTGTAGTTAAAAAAAAAAAAAAATCTAAGGGCCCTAGCTGGTTTTGCTCAATGGATAGAGCGTCAGCCTGCAGACTGAAGGGTCCCAGGTTCGGGTCTGACCAAGGGCACATGCCTGGGTTTCAGGCTCGTTCCCCAGTAGGGGGCGTGCACGAGGCAGCCCATCAATAATTCTCTCTCATCATTGATGTTTCTATCGCTTGCTCCCTCTCCCTTCCTCTCTAAGATCAATAAAAGATATTGAAAAAAATATAAGGCCTTCTGAACTATAATTCCAGGTTTTAATTCTGGGTTCTTAGTATCAGAAAAATCACATTAAGATTTCTAGCATAAATACTCGTATTTTCATTTAGAAAGTGATTTTGTTTTCCTTCAAAATTGGGACATTTATTTCTTGAACTTCTTTGTGTAAAGCATTGATAGTTTGGTTATTGGTTTTAGAATATTTTTACCAATGTTACATATTTAGGTTAACTGCCTTGCAAGTTAAATTGAGACTTTACAGGCTGACTTACATGTAGGTTTCCCCCATTATTCAAAAGTAGAGCTCGCCTGTGAAACCCTTTGTGAGCTGAAATGATGAAAAGTGAAGCAGAATTTACCTTAGGACACATCTTGCTAACAGATGCAGAAGTAGACTGAGGAAGCCCAGGTGCTCACAGACTCATTTCCGGTGATGGAGGCTGGATGCTGGGCATGGTCCCCGGGAAGGAGCTGGGCAGGGCCCTCTCCCTGCCCAGGATGTGCTGCCTCCATGACTGCAGCAAACGAACACTGAACACTATTTTCACTTTTAGCCATTTTTTGAAAAAGCAGAAATCCTCTTTAGATTTTTTTTGTTAATGAAAACAGATAAAAGCGAAGGGGCAAAGCAGACTTTTGAAGAGAGTGGGATACCTATAATACCTAGTTGGTACGATTTAAAACAAGCCATTCCTGCCCTGGCCAATGTGGCTCAGTTGGTTGGGCATCATCCCATGCACTGAAAGGCCACTGGTTTGACCCCTAGTCAGGGCACATGTCTGTATTGCTGGCTCGATCCCTGGCAGGAGGCCTGCAGGAGCAGCAGATCAATGTTGTGCTCTCACATTGATGTTTCTCTCTCTCTCCCTCTCCATCCCTCTCTCTCTAAAAATTGATAAAAACATTTAAAAAAACAAACAAGCTATTCCATTTATCAAGAGAATATATGAAAAAATGTTCATTTGTGAGCAGTGCCCAGTGTCTAGGAGAGAATAGCACTTTGTAAAGCTGAAGCATTCATAACTTTCATCATCGATACAGTGTTTATATCATAAGCTAATATTTTATCTGTGTGACAGACTCTAACCGTTATAGCAGTATTAGGCTGGAGAAACCTTACTTTGGAAGCCTTCCAAAAGATGGCATAAAAATTAACTGACTAAATATTCATCAGTGCCATCTGTATCATAATTAAAAGAAAGCTGGCATCCGATTGTCTCGTCAGCATGCCCCCCGAAGAAGCATAGCTTTTGGGAAGGTTTTTTATAGATGGTCTGCCAATTAAAACCTACCACATAGGCAGCTGCAGGAGCCCCACTCAGAGATCTCTGGAAAGGTGCTTCGCTTTCTTCTCGTTTGCAAATAAATGCGGAGCACTGGTCTTTTGAGGTTGTCTCTCACTTGACTGTCTGAATTTTGTTTATTTTATTCATCTTTTACCAGGAGCAAATTGACATTATGGAAGGGATAAAGGACAGCCAAGCTCAGCGGATGGCAGAAAATTTAGGCTTCCTTGGGCCTTTGAAAAACCAGGTACCTGTGTGATGGAGACCATTGTGTCTGACTTGTTTCAGAAAACATTGGAGAACTTGCTTATTTGTCTTCAATTACCCAGAAACAAGATACGTTATTGTATTCTTTTTCCATTCATTTGTTTATGATGAAGAAAATATTTCTCCGGTGTTCTAAAAGAGGATGTTATGATGTGTGTGTGTATATGTGTATACCTCGGCGTGTGTGTAGGTGTGATGTTTGTGTGTGTGTGTGTGTGTGTATTGCCTGCAGACAACGGCACTTTGTTATGAATGTTAGTCTCTGTGTTTTTTATAGCTTGCAGCTCCAGGCCATGAATTATAAATGGCAGCACAGTGATTAGAAGCACAGGCTGTATACTCAGACAGATCGGAGTTTGAATCCTGCCCTGCTACCCAACACGAGAGCACATGTGTGATCCAGCCCATCTGAATGTCAGTGCATCAAATGGGGATGATGAAATTCTGAGAGGGTTATGGCAAGGACTGAGTGCACTGATGTGTGCAAGTGCAAATTCAGTCCCCTGCCAGGTCAGTTATTATTGTTACCAGTAGCACACATAACTTTCGGTATCCTTGCATAGCTACTAGCCATTTGAGATGAGTATTCATGGCATGAAGGTGATATTTCACTGAGAACAGCTTAAAACATGGCAATTTAGTAATTATATCTCTAAACTTCAGAGACAGACAAATTGGCCTCCGAGGTGCTGAGGCAACGGTTCTCAACCTGTGGGTCGCGACCCCTTTGTCGGTCGAACGACCCTTTCACAGGGGTTGCCTAAGACCATCCTGCATATCAGATATTTACATGACGATTCATAACAGTAGCAACATTACAGTTATGAAGTAGCAACGAAAATAATGTTATGGTTGGGTCACAACATGAGGAACTGTATTTAAAGGGCCAGAAGGTTGAGAACCGCTGTGTTGAGGGAAAGTCTGTCTTGAGCTTCACAGCTCTGCACTGCCCTTGGGGCAGCCTTATTGGCATAGCCAGCTTCCTCGCCCTCAGCTAAGTCAGGAGAACTTAGTGGCTATTTTTAACTACTTCATTACTAAGATCCTGTGTGCGTGTGTGTATGTGTGTATCTGTGTGTATGTTTGGGTATGTGTACATGTGTGTTTTCCCCCAGGGCTCCAGGATAATTACAGAACATTTTCTTTCATTTAGTTGGGTAGTATTCCTTCAAAAAAACAATAGATGTTGCACTTTTTTCTTATCGCCTTTACTTTTTCTTTTGATTGATTCTATTTCTGGATATTCAAGAGTGACAATAAGGCAAATCATAGAGAGTGAAGCAGCATAAAACTTTTAAGTGTGTGTATGTTCCAAGGCATCATTCAGAGCCACCTGAAATCTGCCTGAATGAGAGTCCTACAACTAGAGAATTAAAGAAGAAAGCACATTGAGAATGGTAGGAGCAGGGGCGGAGCGGAGGCATGGAACAGGCTGGTCCGACACCCACATGTTGTGTTTTTCTAATCCGGAGGGAATCTCGACTGTGGAGGCCTCCCATGAGGAGCAAGGGGTCCCAGGCCCATACCAGACCCCCAGCCAGGGTTTCACAGCTGGAAAGAAAGTCCCTGTAACTTTGGACTGTAAAAGCTAACAGGGATTGTGGCTGAATGACACAGAGGTTGCTGCAGACCCAGGCAGTTCCTCTTAAAGAGCTGGTGTACAACCTCACATGGACTCATTCCCTCTGAGCTCCAGCACTAGGGCAACGGCTTGGAAGGATCCACGGACTTACAGGGAGGAACTGGATTGTCTGGCATCTGAACAAGAATTCAGGGTGGTTTCTCCCAGACAAGGGTGCTCATAGGGGTCATTGTTCCTATGCTGAGACCTCCTTCATCGCTGAGCTGACTGGCAGCCATATCTGAGTTTCCATCAGCATGGCTCACACTGTTAGCTCCGCCCTGGCGATTCCCTGAGACACCACCCCATTCAATTTGCAGCCCCACCCAAGCTGTTTGCAGCAGCTTTTCCATGTGAATGGCCTGTCCTAGCTCAAACAAGCAGTTGCTAGACTCAGTGTGCCTCATGCCTATAAGGGGCCCAAGACATTGCACTAACAGCAGCCTGCCTTGCTTCACAGATTGGCCTCACCTGGGTACTTGCAAGCCCTATATAAATAGCAGCAATTTGCAGATGGATCTGTAGCTCCTGTCAGATGGCCTCAGGCAGTGGCTGACTTTGCACCTCCTGAGAGACATCAGAGCCAGTGCAATGGTGGACAGCTCCAGACCCTACCAGATTACAACTCTACACATGCACAAGTGACACACTCAAGGGGAAGACTCAGTGAGCACCAAAGCCCCATTGAAGAAAGTCCTGCTCCTTAAGGTTGTTTTCTGCACAGCAGCTCTTCCACTATAGTTGCAGCTGGTCCTCACAACCAGTTAGCATGGAGGTCAACTCCTCCCAGTGATGCCAACAGCAATCAAGGCTCAACTACAAGACTGCAGAGCCCACACAGGGGCCCACCTAGAATGCCCAGCTCAAATGACTGGGGAGGCTGAGCCACTGGGTCTTACAGGACACCTATTATACCAAGCCACTCTTCCAATTCCAGGAGACATAGCAGCTCTACTTAATACATAGAAATAAACACAGGGATGCAGCCAAAATGCCGAGATGAAGAAACATGTCACAAATGAAAGAACAGAAGAAATCTCCAGAGAAAGAACTAAATGAAGTGGAAGCAAACAAACTACTAAATAACAGAGCTTAAAACAATGCTTATAAGGGTGCTCAAATATCTTCATGAGAGCTTCAAGGGATTTAATGAGAATTTCAAATACAGGAAAAGGACCAGTCAGAAATTAATCATACACTAACTGAAATAAGGAATAATTTACAGAGATTCAACAGTAGAGGATTCCAAGAATCAAGTTAAGGATTTGGAATATGAGGAAGCAAAAAACACCCAATCAGAAGAGCAAAAAGAAAAAAGTCCAAAATTATGAAGATCGTGTAAGGAGCCTCTGGGACAACTTCAAGTGTACCAACATTCGCATTAGGGGGGTGCCAGAAGAAGAGAGAGACCAAGTTATTGACAACCTATTTGAAGAAATAATGACAGAAAACTTCCCCAACCTGGTGAAAGAAATAGACTTACAAGTTCAGGAAGCCAAGAGAGCCCCAAACAAGAGGAACCCAACAAATGTATTGGTGAGGATGCCCTGTTTGTGGGAATGCAGACTGGTGCAGCCACTGTGGAAGACAGTATGTTGTTTCCTCAAAAAATTAAAAATGGAACTGCCATAAGACGCAGTAATGTCACTTCTGGGACTATATCTGAAGAAACCTGAGATATTGATTCAATGGAATATATGTACATTGCAATATTATTTCTAATACCCATGATTTAGAAACAACCCAAGTGCCCATCAGTAGATGAGTGGATAAAAAAAGCCATGGTACATGTTCACCATGGAATACTACTCAGCCATAAAAAAGAAGGAAATCTTACCTTTTGTGACAGCATGGGTGGACATGGAGAGTATTATGAGATACCATGGATGGACCAGGATAAATAAACCAGTCAGAGAAAGATAAAAACCTTATTATTTCATTTATATGTGGAATCGATGAACAAAGCAAACAAAATAGAAACAGACTCATAGATACACAGAATAGAATGACAGCTGTTAGAGGGGGAGGAAGTTGGGGGACTCGGTGAAAAAAGTTAAAGGATTAAGAAACAAAAAACAAAACAACAATCTCATAGATAGACAACACTATGGTGATTACCATAGAGGAAGTGTGTGGCGGGGAGGAATGGGTGGGGAAAGAGCAGGGTAAAGGAGAGGTGAAAGTTGAAGAAAGGACACTTGACTTTGGGTGATGAACACACAATACAGTGTACAGACATGCATTGTAGAATTGCACATCTGAAATCTATATAATTTTAGTAACCAATGTCACCCAAGTAAATTCAATAAAATTTTTAGAAAGTTAAAGAGAGGAGAGTACTTATTTGAAGATGGGAAGAAAGGTTCCCTTGGGAAGCAAATATTCAGGAGGTCAAAGGGGACAGGATCATCTGGGTCTGAACCTCAGGAGAAGGTACAGTCAGGATTCAGTGAACAGTCAGAGGAACTAATTGTCATTTAGAGGCTGGCGAAGATGCCAGGGTAGTGCAAGGACAATGCTGGACAGCTCTTGGGTAAGGGCTACAGCCATTGGTTTGATCTCTTGGGAGTGAGGCCATAATTATATTATTGATTGATTGATTGAGCGGCTCCTTGTGTCGGGCAGGCTCACAAGAGCCCCTCCCACATAGCCACTGTGTTCCAGCTCCATGCGCTCAGTGCCGTGGTTCTGTGCCCATTTCCCTTGGCTGCTCTGTGGTGCCCTTAGCCATCTGCAGTCCCCTTCGCTGGATCCTAAAGTGTACACAGGACTTCCATCTTCTCGCTGCTGCATTGCTGGGAATGTGCTTTGCAGATGTATGAAGTGTCCAAGAAGCAGCTATCATATCAGTGAAGTAGCACATCTAGGTTGCTCCCTTTGATGAGATGCCAGCAGGTAGCTGTAAGGGCAGGAGGACAGATCTGGAGGGGCCAAATCTGCTGGCCACATAATTTCAAAGCTCAGGAGGTTAACATAACAGAGTTCTAGGGAAGGCAGTAATAGTATTGTGTACATCTTAAGAGACCTCCTCCCTCCCCAAAAGCATTATAAGAGAAAATTAAGTTATTTATAGCTGTTTAATGTCTGAATCTTGTTTTCCCAATGCCCCAAACAACTTAGGTTTTAAGTGAGTTACCTAGGAAAGATGAACATGCAAGTTCTCAGGGGTCATTAGTAGCTAATTGTCATTATATTTCTTAATTACATTTTTAATTCACGGTGTTTCTTATTTCATTGCTGACTACACGAAAGACTTTGCATCTTCACTTGCTCAGCAAAAGTGGAGGGAGCACTGAGCGGGTGCTGCACAGCCTGCTGTGCCCTAGGCACAGAGAGGGTGAGTCCCCACCACCATCAGG